TTTTATCGGTCCGGTCCGGTTAAATCGGCGGTTTGCCGCAGGTAATCTGTTAACTCGACCGGTTATTCTGTATTTTTAAGAAAATTAACCAGCAGGATTTTTAAGGGTTTTTTAACCGACCATTTAACAGATCGCGGTCTGTATTGACAGTTTTTTCGGTTAAAACTGAATCGTGAACACCCCTATCTTGTATAGTTGGTTGAGATATATACATAATTGCGTATAAACTTAGTATAGATGGTTGAACATCGACTGGACGACCTCGCCTTCATCAAAATGATAATGCAGCCCCACAGCATGGGAACGCTAACCCACAATTGCCGCCTCAACCTCCTACTAGAGACAATTTGACAGCTCAAGTCATCACTCAACTCATGAATTTTCTCCAACAACATGTGGCATCAAACCCCAACGCACTTGAACCCCATGATCGGGTGTTAGAAAGATCCATGCGTTTCAGCCCACCAACCTTTCTCGGTGAACCTGATGATGCCAAGGCAGAATATTGGCTTGAGCGAATTGAAAGTATCTTTGCAACGATACAATACACTGAGTCACAACGTTTATCCCTAGCTACATTTCGTTTGGAAAATGTTGCACACGATTGGTGGAAGTATGTGTGAGAAGTGGACACGAGAAAATAAGAACAGGAATTGGGAGAATTTCGTGAGTGAATTCAAAACCCAATACATCTCACAAGCTGCAAGAGAAGCTAGAAGAGATGACTTTTACCATCTGAAGCAAGGAACACTAATTGTGGCACAATTCGAGTCCCGGTTTAATCGGTTATCCCAATATGCGACAGGGCTGTTTAGTACTAAAGAAGATAAGTTGTATAAATTCACTAGAGGCTTGAGGCATTCCCTGCAGCAGAGTCTTCTTACAGTAAGGATGAACACATATGCTGAAGCCGTTGAGGCTGCCACCCGAATGGAGAGTTGGATGGCACGTCTAGGACAAGTCCAAAATAAAAGTGGTAAGAATTTTAAGAGGCCAGCACCAGGGCCGTGTTCTGAAACCCCTCAAAAGTTTCAGAAGCCTAGTGAATCAAGAAAAACCCCATCCGTCAAGAATGCGCCCCCACTATGTTCTCACTGCTCCAAGGTAGGGCATACTCCCAATGACTGCTGGCGAAAGTTGGGGGAGTGTCTGAGATGTGGAAGCTCTCAACATCAAATTAAGGATTGCCCAAAGAGCGGAGCTCCGGCCGATAATCGAGTTGCACCGGTGAAGCCTGGAAACAACTGTGCTAGGGTACCAGCATGTGTGTTTGCTCTGGCAGGGCAGGAAGCTCCAGAAGCGGCTGACGTGGTGAAAGGTACATTTCTCGTATCTAACCACTTTGCACGCACATTGATAGACCCAGGATCATCTCATTCATTTGTTGCTCCTCAATTTGCACAAAAACTGAATGTGTCTATTGATTACTTGTCGAGTTGCTTTGAGGTATCAACTCCTATGGATGCATATTAATAAGTCAGTAAGATTGTTTAGGGGGTCTGCATAAATATGTGATAGATGTATTACATCTCATAATAATAATAATAAAAAAAGAAGATCAGAGACGTCGACCCAATGCCCCAATCGAAATCACGGTTTTCAGAACATCACACTTCCCCATTCACTGATGCGTCCCTTACACTCCTCAAACCCATACGTCCCAATAGAAATCCCTGTTATCAGATAATCATTGCTTTTTGCGTGTACACTTCACGTTGCAGGCCATCTTTCTACACAATTTACACTCAATATATCTTACTTAATCATTTTATATACAATTTACACCCAACCTATTTGACTTATCATTTTATACACCGTTCAATGATGACTCAACTTTCACTCTGCATGAAATTAACATTTCAATGAGTAGTTGTCTGTTGTAGTCTTGGGAGATCATTTGGAGGAGTGTCAGAGAGCAAAATAGAGGCACACATCATCCTAAACCCCAAATACTAAAAAGAAAAGTGGTGGGTGATTAAAATCTTGAAATGAATAAATGAAAGTGTTATCTCAAAAATACTGATGCATGTATATATATTATATATTGCTTGTTGGTGAAAATACTGTTGGAATTGTGCATATATTTTTTTTCTTCCGTGAATACGCGTACATGTGTATATATATACTATTTGTTGTATTGTAATCATGTGTATATATTTATTTTCTCTGTGATGTGTATTAATACTTTTATTCGTAGTGTTGGCCGCAATCGCCAGTAGGACGATAGAAATTTCTTTTTTATAATCATTTTTTTTATTATATAAATTATAAGAATTATAATTTTAATTTATAATGAGTTTAAGTGATAGGCCGAAAAATGTGCATGTTTTATATATTTAACAGTGTATTTTTATTCACTTAATTTATTTGCACGTTTATATTTTTCGACTTATTTATTTCTTGGATGGATTCATATACATCGATATTTTTATGTTTATTTTCAGAATATTAGAGTGTTTTTATGGACGACACAACTTTGGACGAAAGTTTACATGATTAATTATCGGCCTTTCCAATACCCGTCAATTTAGCTCCAAATGCAGCATACATTTTGTAATGGTCTTATATAACAAATAATTCATGGCTTGGAAGTGTGGGGTCCAAAATTAATTTGAGTCTATTATTTGGAAAAAGAAAATTACTTGTGGAGAGGATTTGGCTAAGGAGTTTGGATTAGTGGGGACTCTCGGATTAATTGAAGACATTGGTTGGGGCTTATATTTGTTGGGGAATTATTTTCCAAAAAGAGGACACACACGGCAAAAAGGAAATTTCTGAAAGACGCGAAATGAAAAAAAGAGAACCGAAGGGCGAGAGTGAAAAATAAACGCACCGAGAAGTGAACTCACGCACAGCTTTGAGGAGAGGAAAGATTACACGGCGGAGGGAAACCGCACTCGCACACGAGGGAGATCTTAATTCTCTCTCTTTTATTTATTTATTTATATTAGTATGATAGACTAGTTTTCTTATCCAGTTTGAGGGGATGTTGAACCCTAACTTGAATTTGTCTATGAATTTAAGGATTTGAATTTATCGTTGATTAATTGAGACGTCATATTTATTTTGTTGATGAGTTGATTCATGGTATCTATATTTAGTGTTTATGAATTATGATGTTTGATTGGCCAGCTACATTGAATGTTTAAATTTAAATTGCTAGATTCGAGACTTTAATCCGTAATTGTTATTGTCTTGTTTCGTTAGTAGTAAACTAGGGGTCGTGCATCCTTAGGGTAGCGTGAACATAAGTTAAATGGTCCGAGCTTACGCGTCCGTTGCTTAGACTGATCTATTTTCCTAATAATTAATGTTGCTAGTGTATTAAATCTAGAGAGCTTATTCTAGGTTGTACACAAGTTAGGTTTAGTCGAAGAGCTTATTTCGATTAAATAATCGGTAAGGGAAAATTCGGTTAACAGAGCTTGTTGTTAGCTAGGGTCGGTAATTCATTAGCAATTTAAAGAAAGCGTCGAGGTTAATTAGCGGTAGATTTAGATTGAGTGATAACTGAACTAAAAACTGGATTTCTCTCATTTATTTGATTTTTATTTTATTTTCTTTTGTTATTCTTATAAAACAAATCCCCCCATTTTATTGCTTTCTTAGTTCAATTCAATTAATACAAAATTATCACAATTTAGTTCCTGCTCCTCGTGGGATCGACCCTTACTCGCCGCTACTACTAGTTAGTAGAGGTTTGTTAAGGAAAATCTATAAATTTAAATTTGCCGCGTCGCGACGCGCGGTCAAATTTTGGCGCCGTTGCCGGGGAGTGGCGCAATTGAGTTGTGATTATTTTTAGTGTTAATTGAATTAGGTAGTTAGATAGTTTTTATTTTATTTTCTTTGACTCTCTTAATCCCCCTATTTTTATTTTCCTTTTGCAGGTGGTATTCGTATAAATGGATGCATATTGGAGCCCGGATTGTGCTTATGTATACGATTCGTATTATGAAAGGAAAAGAAGGGAAATAAGAGACCAACATCGTAAGGCTAAAATGTCGGCTATGATCCAAGAAGCCATTGAGAGTGTTCGTCAGGCTTTAAAGAGACCATGTAGTCTATGTCATACCACAAGACATGTCACCGATGATTGTCCACTTTTATTCGAGAGGTATGGTGCACAAAGTGCTACCGAGAGAGATTGCTATCGACGAGACGATTGGGCGTATTCAAATTCTTATGGGAACCATTACAGTTGGGGTGAACGTGGAAATTCATTCTATGAAAATCCACAATATTCTCGATCGTATGAGCCTATTTATGAGCATGATGACCCTCAATTCCGCTATGGAGGCTCACAATATTTTTCAGAACCATCGCTTGAACAAGAGACTAGTCCGTCATTGATGGAGCTATTTGAGGAGTGTCAAAATTCTTTGATGGCTAGTAGCAAAGCGATTGGTGATGTATTGAGCGAATTGGATGCCCGAGCCAAGAGTCGGCTATTATCACAAGCCGGAGCCATCCACGATGATGTTGGAGACCTGAGGATGTGCAGCGACACAGAGCCTGAGGTGCTGGACGGACGTAATTTTGAGCCGAACGGCGAAGAGAATGAAGAAGAAGGCAATGAGGAGCAAATGTTCGCTGATATCGGCCCCCCCCGATAAAAACCTGGTAGCATTTACTACTGCTATCGGGAGCCCCGATAACAGCCTGCTCAAAAGTGAAAACGATGTGAAAGCTCCATCAATTGCCACGAGCGTGACTGAAAATCAATTTCCTCTATCCGAGTTCAAACAACCAGCAACCAAGCACACTGAAAACCAGGACCCTTACATCCTGGAGGTGGTACAAACTTTTCCTCCTATCCATGATCTCGGGCTAATCTTTTACCATGATCATTTACCACCGAGAAGAAAAAATCCGGTAAAGCACCCGACACCGGACGAGGGGACCTTTAATAAGCATGGAGCTGCAAAGTTCGTGCCTCCTTTGAGGCCACCTATGAAGCCGCCATGGACCGCTTGAAGAAAGCGGAGAATAAGTCGAGCCAACGACAATAAAAAAAGGCGCTTGTTGGGAGGCAACCCAATGTGTGCGACCGCGACTTCCTCTCTTCGATAAGATGAACTCCTTCCTTTTACCTTCTATTTTGTTCTCTTATGTGCAAACACTAAGTTTGGGGAGGTGTGTTAGTGTGAGAGGTTTATATGCTAGATTATTATATATTTCCTTGATTTTCTTGAGTAGGAGGCTATATGTATGTGGAATTTTGCGATGATGACATGAGTCTATTGGAATATTATGCTAGTTATAATGACTTGGATTGATTATTTCTGGTTAAAATCTTGAGGTGTTATCATTTGAGGGACAAAGACATGATTGTTGAAATTTATGTGTTTTATTCGTAGTAAGTCGTCTTGAACTGTTTATATTCTTGAACTGTGCTGGTGATTATTCTGCTTGATGTCGATGGTGTGAGGTGACTTGACGTGGAAAGTTGGGAGTTGAATGTCTCGAAAAAAAAAAAAAAAAAAAAAAAAAAAAAAAAGAAGGTGGAGGAGAAGAATAATGGATGTTAGATTTAAAAAAAAATAAAAAAAAAAGTGGGCTGCAACAGCTGCCAGTCTGTGAGCTTTAGTGCATCACTCTAGCACGAGTAGCTAAACACCATAGACTGTGACGGAGTTGCCGTTCCCAAAAAAAAAAGAAAAAAAAAAACCGAGACGTTTGATTTTTAGCTAGAAACAAAGAGAAACTAAGTCGATTGACAAAGAAAGGGATGTCGTTAGTTGCATGATTGGTATACTCAGTGAAGAGATTGATGAACTGTGGTGATTCACTGAATTGATATTTGATTGTTGGGTTCTAAAGATGATTTTATTTCGAGTCTAGGATTATTAATTTGAGAAGTTGTAGCTATGCATTTATGTGAGATGTGTGAGGACCTGAGCGAATATTCCACGTACTTGTATATATCCATCTATATGCTTATAGTTCTAAGTTGCTTGGGGACAAGCAACGGTTTAAGTTTGGGGAGAGATTTGATAGGCCGAAAAATGTGCATGTTTTATATATTTAACAGTGTATTTTTATTCACT